TTTTTTTGCATGAATGTTAGAAATAACAGTAAAATATTTTGATTTAAAATAATTTGAAACTACATTTTTTAAGAATATGCGATTCCTTTAAGGCAGAGCCCATCACCTTAACAAGAAAATGACTACTTCCCAATGTTGCTGGTGGTGCAACATGAATGAATGCAAGCCTGCCACTTTTGTCGTATGTTTTCAGAATCACACACACCAGTAAGTCCTGCTCCTTTCTCTGCACTGTTCCCAATCATCTAGCCCCACCTTGGCAAGACAGCCTTTTCTGGCCCCAACAATCTCCTATTTTCACACTTGTTTTCTGATATAGCTTCACTTATAAGAGGCTCAGTGTTAAATTCAAACACTCTGTATTACTGCTCATCTTTTTTGAGGGGGAAGATAGTTTAACCTCATACAGTCCTCTTCTACAGGGTGGCCATAAACCTGGAAGTATATATATAACTGAATATCCATAATAAGTAGATTATTGATATACCGTTGCAATACATGACATATTCAGTGATATTACATGAGATACTCAATGGTGTTCATCCATAGTAGCAACCAAAAGTTCAATACACTGTGCAAAATGGCAGCAAACGTGGTGCCTTTATCCAGCATTTTCATCAGTCCCTGCACATGCATCTTTGAAACATGCCTCAGGTGATTTGTGCCTCTGATTTTCATTGAACAAGCCCTCACCTTTTGCACATTCCAGAGGAAGTAATCAGCGTGGTTCTGCGCTGAGAACACGCGCCCACTCCACAGGACCATGTTCTCTCTCTGTTTTGGAAATTATCAACCACCTGGTCCCTTGCAGCCCTGAATGAACCTGGTGTGCCTTCTGCTGGAGGCGTCAGGTGGCTTTCCCTAACTCCTCCTGAGTGAGCATTAATTGCTGCTTAACACGGTGAAATATGTTAAACATTTGTTTATTGTCCCAAACTCTTGTCCACCCTATGTTGCCCAGAGCGCTCGTCCTGTCAGTGGGGCTCATCACGACCTTCCAGGCAAAGGAAAGGCTCAACGGGTTGGCTCAGCAGTCAGCCAACCAGTCGGAAGACCGCGGCTGGGCTTCTTCCATATAATTTGTGCCTCGGGGCAAAAGACCTGGGGTCATCCCACAGTGAGTTTTATGAAGCTGCTCCACTATGTGTGGGGATAACCCCTCGCTCACCACCTCACAGGTTTGACATATCGCTGCAACAAGCACAGCGCCGCGTCTCCCCACACTCCTGGTTTTGGAAGTGTGGTTCCTGAGCGGGCAGCACCGGTACCACCTGGGAATTTATTGTAAATGCAAACGCTCAGCCTCCACCCCAGACCTTCCGAATTAGGGAATCTGAGGATAGGGCCCAGCAAACTGTTTTATTTAACAAGCCCTCCAGGTGATTCTGATGTATGTTAAACTTTAAAAACCATTTTCTTACATCTCCCCGAGACAGAAATTAATGGAGAACATTAGTTTTACACTTAGCTGCCTTCACACTGAGCCACAGTATGATTACAGTCATATGCATTTGATTGACAGGCTGCTGACGCATCAGGAAGTGCTCCATTTAATCTTGAACTAAAGCTGAGGATGTGAGCACACACTAGGAAAATATTTATGCCCTGCAGCATGAAGAAAACTAACTTTAAGTTTTTAAATCATTGGCAATTTGGCTAACTGTATGTTCTGAGGAACTAGGCCATATGTGAATAAAATACACTCATAAAAGTTTTGATAAAATGTCTCATCTCTATCTTAGAAGTCATGTGATTCTGAAGTTGGGGTTTTTTTGTTTTTGTTTTTAGTTTTGTTTTTTTTTTTCAACTAAGCAGGTTAGAATTTTAGGACAATATAATTAGTGGGCACAGAACTTCCACAATACAATTAAAAATATTTTATTTAGTTATTAATTTATAAATACATAATCATAATTTTATTTGAAGATATCTCTCTCAGTGGATATGAAATGATGACTTCTCATTTTGAAGGCAAAAAGAGAAAGACCTACTGATTCTAACAAATTTAACATATACACAGATATTCTGTGTAGAGCACTATCCTTTACCAAGAATATAATATATATATATATTTAAAATATAAAACCATCACTAAAATCTCATAATCAAAATAGACATAAAATCAGTTTGAGAGCCTAAGTCCATCCTGCTTTTATATTTCCTTTTCTTTTTCCTTTTTTGGCAGCTCCAAAGCATAAAATATGTAGATTTGGTTCACTTTTTACTTCACTTTTTACTTGCCATTGATTATAATCAGGATTGGAGCAGCCAAATGGTAAAATAGCTAAGTCTTTAGGAGAGGGAGGATGACCATTCATCCTTTTATCTCACATTTTAAACTATTTATATATATATATATGATATATACATATATATGAGATATATACATATATATGAGATATACATATATATGATATATACGTATATATATCATATATATACACATTTATGTTACATACATACACATATATATATTTCCTTGAGTTAAAGATTTAGCAGCAGATGTAATTAAGACACAGGGAGGTGTGTGAGAGAGCATATGAGTGCAAAGACCCAAGGTGCAGCCAACTCTCTTTTCCACACCATGTGTAGGTATTATAGAAGTGCATCAGGCATTGCTTCCTCTGAATAGCCTAGTTTTTGTTCATCTCTTCATAGATACTACATGTTGCTACTCAAAGCTTCACGTCAGAATTCTCTGCCCACTGCCTCTATTTCCAATACTCCGCAGCTCATGCCTCTGATCCACACTTGCTCTTGCATTGTGCTTTTAATACCGATCATTTCCAATCATTGACTTTCACTTTAACATAGTAGTGCCTGGAGTACCTGGAGACCTCACATCATCTGCCCTTGAGTCAGTCCTTTCCATCTCAAAACATAATCTTAAGGGAACTAAAAGACACATGGCCAATATTTTATGACATGATTTTTCCCCTTTCTTTATATTTGAACACTAGGCACAGGCCTGTATAGTTGCTGCTCTTTAAAAACTCATGGAGGAGAAAAATGAACTTTGGTAGTAGTTTCTCTAAATCCTTACATTTGGGTTTCTACAAACTCTCTCTGAATTCTGAGTTTGGGCAAGAAGATTTTGAAGCTGGACCTGGGATTCACCAGCAAACTGGCTTAGACCATCCATAACTGTAGGCCCACTATCATGGCAGCTTCTGGAACATCCGAGCACTCTGTGCCCAGTCGGGGCAATATCCAGCTTGTGGGCTCAGGAAATCCTGCAGGACTCACTGTTCCCAGCCTTCAAACTCCTTCAGGCACTGGCTGTGTATTGCTCCCACTCAGGTTGCCCTCCTACCTCAGATGTATGTCTGTCTCATTTGTCATAATTTTATGCATTCTTCTGTTCTCAGGCTGTTTTACCTCAATACTAGCTGCAAACCTTGTAGAATGATGCCATTTAAAATGGTTACCACCCTCTTCCCAAATTGGCACACTTTGTACCTCTCTGTGCAGCTGAAATAGAAGTTTACATGCCGGTTTAGAGGTCAACATACACTTACCCAGAACCTACATTGTTCTAATCAAACACTCAACTGCACTCTAACACATATTAATACATTGGTAACTTTAATTGCTGAGGTAGTTTTCATGGAAATCACTCAGGCAGTGGCATTTATAGAGGACACATCTGTGACCCTGTGAGAGGGCTGTGGACATCAGCTAAGAACATGACTACCATTTAGGCACTTCAATCTAATGGAAAGAAGACATATGCTGAAGCGTGCACTAAGATTCTTATAATCCACAAATAAATGTCCCCAGTGGCTTATCTGATTAACAGCTCCTTATCTTAAAACATTCCAAGCCTTGAGACAAAACCTTATGTCTTTAACCAATTACAAGTCAAAGAATCGTTAAACCCAGTTGTAACCTGTAGCACCCTCCCCCCTTTGAGATGGCCCACCTTTTCAGGCCAAACCAATGTATGCCTCCCACGTATTGATTTATGACTTTACCTGTAACCCCTGTCTCCCTGAAATGTATAAAACAAAACTGTAGCCCAGCCACAGGGAGTCCACTTGCTCAAGGCTGTGATGGTGTTTGATTGGCAGCTACATGTGGGTAGCAGAGGGAAGACAGGACTCAGCCAACATGTGGTTTAATCAAGACTTGATATATAAAGAAACATCCTGAAAGACCATGGTAAAGTGAATCAAAACACTTGAAAAGACTTTCCAGGTTCTGTGTAACCGAGATGTGCTTACAGACTGAGAGAGGAATTTAATGCGGTCACACCAGTGACCATGGGCACACCAGGGTTCTCCAAGGTCCCTGACTTCACTTTGACACCGAAGTCCTGTGGTTCTGATATTCCCAGGAAGTTTGTCCCAGCAGCTAGAATCACCCTAGTGATTCTAACTAGTAATCACATTACTCCCTAATGTGTTAGCAGAATTAACTGCTTTTGACACTCCAGCTCTTATTTTCATACGATTCTTTTGTGAGCAATGTTCAAGCAGAATGTTCACACAGTGTAGACTTCTGGTTTTCTTAACCAACTTCAGCCCAAGGACAGGTTATTTCTGACTTTAAGGTCTCCTTCGACTTGTGCCTCCTCCAAGATAGAAAATAACATATTTGGCTGTGTCTGTAGGGAAAATGGGAGGCTGAGCTTGTGCTCAATGCCATCAGGCCAGAATTTCTTGTTTGTAAGTATGACATCCAGAGTGTTAGCTGGGTCAGCCCGCCAGGTAAGAACGGGACAGCAGGCCAGCCTGGCTTTCCTCCTTCCTAGGGGTCCCTTTTGCTAGAGTTATTTCTTCTTTTTGGGTCCCTCCTCCGTTTAGTTTGCTAGAAAATCCATTCATTGTCCCAAACGTTATTTACTTGCTCAGGGCTGTGCTAGAATATTGTTTAAATCTGTAGCAAAATAAGCTCATGCTCCTTGTGACGCTAATATGTGTGACAAAGGAGGTTTGCAAAAATCAAAACATAGACATTGGTCAGAAATTTAATGTTATAAAGTCACCTCTACTCTCTGATATCCCAGCACTTACGTGACAGGGATTGTTTACAAACTGTTACCACTCCATTCTTTAATCTCTCTCTCTCTCTCTCTCTCTCTCTCTCTGGTGTTTGCTACATAATGACAGCTACATTGCTCTTGGTTCTCTTGGCTGTAGTTTCAAATCAACTGCTACCCAGGTGGAGTTATTAAACAGGGGAAAATGGACCTGTATATTTTAGAGAAAAGATATGCATCAGAATATTTAAGTTCTTAACATTTTCTATTAATTAACAAAACTTATTTATATATATTATTTGCCAAGACTGATCAGACTTGCAGTCTGAGAAACAGAGACAAGGGTGGTATGGTCAAATCCCAGCTGCTGGAACTAGGGGAAGATAGTTAGCATCTCCAAGGTAGTTTTTATCTTTACCTTTTGTTGTGGGAAATAAGCAGACTTTCAGGTTTCCTGTGTGCATTAGAACTAAGGAGTATAAAATCAACAGAGAGAAGACATGAGGCAGGACAGTCTCAGGACCCAGCTCACGGCCTTTAGGTGCATAAGAATTATTTTGTGTATAAATGAATAGACACTTGAGGAAGGTACTCTATAAATGTCAATTGTTATTATCACTGAAGATTTTATTACTATTAATAAAATTTCATGAAAAATATAGATAGGTTAAATCAAAATTCTTTGAGGTGAGCTAAGAATCATTGGCTTTGATATTTAATTTGCACTCATGGATATACCTCAAAAAGCATTTTACTGCTTTAGAAGCACTGTATACATGTGAGGAATTACATGTGACTAATGGCCACTGCTTTTCCTAACAGGTCTGGCTATTCCCATCCTCCTGCCACGGAAGATGTGGCTGTAGACCAACACACCTTCTGAGCCTTCAGGCGGGTGAGGCCCCTGTTGGATGCTGTGTTTAACAGTATGGTCAGTCGTGTGTAGACACCACGTGGCATACAGACCACTGTACAATATCTGTCACTACCCAACCTCCCATAATGACATAAACTGCCTACTTTAAGCAAAATTCTCTCTTTGTTTTTTATTTTGCTAATTTCCCTCTTTCCTATTTTACTCCCCCAATATATCTCCTTCCTTTGATCTTTTGTATTTTTCTCCTACTATATCTTAGGATAGGGAATGGCATCTTTGGACAGTATTTACCCAAACCGAGAGCATTTTAGGCTTAGGAATGGTTTAGAGTCTTGGTCTATACTTAACGCAGTCATGTGACAAATACATATCTAGTATCTCTACAGATAATAGAAAGCATTAAGGATACACAGCTTTGATTTTACATAATATTTGAACTTCAATGTCGAAGAGAAGAGGCAGGCAAGAAATCAGTCATCACAGCATGTGTGGTGAGAGCAGGAATGCAAGACACTGGGGAGATCGTAAGGGGCAGATGTGCAGAATGAGAAACCCTCATAGTTGGGTGGTTACCAGTGAGTTTGTATTCATTTTATTTTGAAAGAGATTTTCCTATCTTGCCTATCCCCAGATAAAAATCATTCAACAGCTCTCATTTTTTGAATAAATTTTAAAATGTCTTATTTTTCAATTTCACCTCCAATATGACCCCCACATCCTTCCAAGCACATCTTCCACACCTGCTGCCACTCACACCAAACACTGCTCCTCACAGTTTCCCACACATGATCCTCACTTTCCAGCCAACTCCTTTGCTAGGCCTAAAAGGACCTTTCCTCACATTAAAGCAGGTATGATACTACCAATCCCACGTCAATTCTCCAGGAAGTTTGCTTTAATTCCCCCACAGAGACTTCTCCATGGAGAAATATTTACTTTTCCTCACCAGTGGGGTCAGAAGATGTGAGACTCACGGGAACAACCCGAGACCCTGAAACATGAGGTCTGGGAAGAGAACGGATGAAAGGGTGAAGGATGAGGAAGCTTTGATTCTTGGGGGGCCACAAGGTCATCCGATATAAAACTGTAGCTGTGCTGTGATCAGGTATGAAAGGTCAAAGTGACCAGTGGAATTTAGAAATGGTGGTAGACCCAGCTCCCAAAGTCTTGGCTCACTGCATGCATAAGGAAATGCAAAACAAAAGGGGAAAAAGTGAAATATATAATCCCTTGGTTCCTGTTATCTGTGATAGCTAAAATGAGAGTAAAAGAGAGTAAGTGCTGAGACTGGACCAAGCACAGATGTGGGTCAGTCTGAGCTGTGGACACTGGCCCCAGAGCTCTAGTCACCAAAAAGGGAGTCCAGGTAGGGGAAGGCAAACCGAGAAAATATTGAAACCAGAGGGTGTAGTGTGAAGGAGTTATCTCATCATCTTCTGGAAGAATCTTTACTAAAATGAACATGAGGGTGATTAATTTAGGGAAAGTGTCTCTGGTTCTGAGGAAGAACTGCTGAGTAGAAGAGTGTGTCTGGGTTGATACAGGAACCACATCTCACTATGGAACAATCAACATCACATATGTGATCTAGACACATAGCAGGTTATTCCTTAGGGAATGGTTAACCTAGTAGACCAAATAAATGACACCACAAAGTTGCTTACCCTGAGAAGGAGGACTGTCTGGCTCTCCCTATCAACGTCACTTGGAATACCCTGGATGAAGAAGCTAGTGTACTTTTTATGTGAGCCATGCTGGACTGGCTATAGGATGACCCGACATTCATCCACTGATTTTTCCCTCGTGCAGGGCATGACAAATGCCATGACTAAGGGGATATCTTTTGCATAATCACCCTGTGCAGCTTTTCTGCTGCAAAATCAAGCAACAGGCCAAGAAGCCTTATTGAATTTGCTATCTGAACTGCCCCTTATGGGTCTTAGAGGCATAAACCAAAAAAAGTAGATTAATTAACAAGAAAATGGAGAAAGACAGAGAGTCAAGGGGCTCATTTCAGAGGAGAGAAAACTTTAGATGGTTGTTTAAAATTGGGATGAAGAAAGCAAACATTAACGGGGAAGAACAAAGGTCTCAGTGCGGTGCTCTAGGTGGTTGGGAGGGCCCGTGGGAATCGCTGCAGATCCCCTCCTAGTGAGAGCACTCCTTAAAGGTCCCTAAGCAAGTCTTCTCTATTTACCCCAGTTTGGAGGCATTTTAATAGTCAGAAAATAAAGATTACAATGAGAAACCTGGACAAGGGTCAAGCTAATTAATCAAGGTAAAGTTTATGGAGGGATCAGGGTCCCTTGGCTCAACTCCCTGCTGGAACTAAAGCCCTGTGTGCGAACAGGTACTGCGGTCAGAGGGTGGAGGAGAGAAATTCCTGGGACTCCGTGCCACGTGCACTCGATGCACTGTGGTACCCAGAGCACATTGGTTAAGCCTAACAGGAGCTACAACTACATGGAGAGAACATAGGAATGCAAGGGTTGGAAGGATTAAAATAAGAGTTTGGATGAAAATTGGGATGTTTAAACAGGCTTTATGTGAAGTGCCTGTGTCTCTTTTACCTGAATATATTGTGGGGAACATTTCTCCCACCTACTGTTGTAAAACAAGAGGCCTGTACATTCAGCCTTTAGGAAATGTTAATTAGACATGCTCACTGGGAACAATAAGATTGCCCAGCCCTACACATTAAGGAATAGAAACTGGGGTGCTGGTTCGGCAATTTCTCTGCACAATAGCCCTGTGTGGAGCCCAGACTGAGGATTACGGCAAAAGCCTGTGATCACCTCCCAGCAACAACTGCTTTGCCTTGGAACAGAGAATTTCCATTTGAATGGCAATTACTAGCTTGTGATAAGACATTAATTGAAATGGCCCCTATGACTGAAGGACATAAAGAAGTCTTTAAATCTGAAATGTTATGATGCCTTGGGTGATTTGCTATAATAGAAAGGACAATGATCAGAGGACTTCCATAATAAAACGGAATTAGTTTGTATAGGAACATGTCACCAAGGTGTCTTGGTTCTTTCCTGCTGCTATAACAAAATACCTGAGACTGGGCAATTTATTGAAAACAGAAACTTATTTCTCATAATTCTTAAGATTGGGAAGTACAAGATCAAGGTGACAGCAGGTTTGGTGTCTGGTGAGGGCCCCTTCCTCTTAGTTGGTGGTGTCCAGGTGTCCTCACATGGTGGAAGTCAGAAGGGCAAAGCCCGGAAGCTCGTTCCCGCCTGCCCTTGTGTAAGGCGCTGATCCAGTCATGACACAGGGCCTCCAGGTCTTAGTCACTCCCTGGGCTTCCCTACCTTTAATGCCGCTACAATGGGCATTCAGTCTCGGCACACACGTTTGGGGGAGATTCAGAGCATAGTGCAGGGAAGTGTAAAAGTTACTCAGTGTGTTCACAAGCGTGTGGACTCTTTTCCCCTAGCACTGGCTGAGGTGGCCAAGCAGAAAGGCCATGGGAAATTGGCCTATTAAAGGGACACCTCTCTGGGGCTTGCCCTGTGGAAACACTCTAGGAATTTGGGGAGTGCATTGAAGTGGGACATGTCAGTGCCTATTAGAAGAACCCCCTTCCAGGATTAGAGGGTAATTAGGTCCAAGTGGATATCCTGGCATGCTCACTTGAGGTGATCACCTGGGTCCATGAAACAAGGGGGCACTGGGGGACCACAGCAGTGGCTGAATTAGACTTACTCCTTTTGTACTTACATGCCAATACAGACTGCTCTCTTTGCCAATGAGAGAGACAGGAACTACAGATGGCTGTGGAGCAGCTTCCCTGGGAGAAAAACCCCAAGAGTTGGACAGATGCCAGTGGCCCTGGGGCTATAGATGGGTCCGGACAGGAATAGACGCTGACTCTAGACGCAGCTTTGCTTACCGTGGTAGATGCAAATGTTCCGAGTACTGCAGGAAAAAACAACAGGAGACACTGCACCAGTTTGAACCAATAAGTCACATTTCTTCAGTTCAAGAAATAGACTTTTGGCCGGGCGCTGTGGCTCACGCCTGTAATCCTAGCTCTTGGGAGGCCGAGGCGGGCGGATTGCTCAAGGTCAGGAGTTCAAAACCAGCCTGAGCAAGAGCGAGACCCCGTCTCTACTATAAATAGAAAGAAATTAATTGGCCAACTGATATATATATATAAAATTAGCCGGGCATGGTGGCGCATGCCTGTAGTCCCAGCTACCCGGGAGGCTGAGGCAGAAGGATCACTCAAGCCCAGGAGTTTGAGGTTGCTGTGAGCTAGGCTGATTAAAAAAAATTACGGTGGGGAATACAGAATTTAGCCTGGACAACAAAGTGAGACTCTGTCTCAAAAAAAAAAAAAAAAAAAAGAAATAGACTTTTGTCCTCACAGTAATGGTTTGATAGAGGATTGGACGGACAGTGAAACGCTGTTCCTCTACAGTGGGAGCAGATACAGGCATGGAGGGCTGGGTCACATGCCTGTCTGAGCGTGTGCTGACACTCAAAGTGAGGGGGCCAGGGGAGGGTCCCAGTGGACAGGCCCCCTCCCTCTGCTGTGGCAGCCTGAGGAAGGGAAGGTGGAGGAGGATGCCGCTATGACCACGCAGTTCTTCCCACGCTGGGAATGTGACACATTTGTCTTTCTTCTCCACATCACCTCAGACTTCCTTTACGTACTTGCTGTGCTGGTCCCAGGACAAGGGCTGCGACTGTAAGTACCAGAAGCAGGAACAATTCCTAAGCAAAACCTGTAACTATGCTTTTCAGCCTTTATGACAAAATCCCTAGGGGACAGATCAGGTATTGTGACTTTACTCCACCTGGCAAAACCCGGGTTGACAGGAAGTGCAGCTGTTTTGCCTAAAGATTGAAATATGCCCCCCCCCCATTCTGGGCATTATCCTATATGAATGGGGTGGGCAGAGGGAGAGGCACTTGCTAAAGTCATATTGGTGCCAGGAATCTAGACCAGCACAGTGGCTGAACCTAGCACATCGTCCAAATGTGTAAAAGTCTGGGCATACCTGGAGACAAGGAGAAACACTACTGGGTGCTAACAATGAATATTTGAGTCACACAGTGAGGGGGATCCAACATTACATTAATACTTCAGAAGAGATTCAGGGCAAGAGAAGATATTGTCTCTTAGCTCAATTATTCCAGATGCTGGAAGGGGTGAAGCCATGTATTGCTGAAAGCACCCTTACTTGTAGAACTTGACAGAATTGAATGCCAACCTGAGTGGTCTCATCCTGGGTGACATTTTGGTTATACAACATGATGATCAGCTGGACGAATTTTTTTTTTTTTTTTTGAGACAGAGTTTCTATTGCCTAGACTAGAGTGCTGTGGTGTCAGCCTAGCTCATAGCAACGTCAAACTCCTGGGCTCAAGTGATCCTCCTGCCTCAGCCTCCTGAGTAGCTGGGACTATAAGAGCCTGCCACCAGGCCCAGCTCATATTCTTTATTTTTAGTAGAGAATCTTGCTCTTGCTCAGGCCTGGTCTTGAACTTCTGAGTTTAAGCAACCCTCCCACCTCGGCCTCCCAGAGTGCTAGGATTACAGGCACAAGCCACCAAGCCCAGCCCTAGGACTAATTATTAATGACTGAATGAGACTCCAGTATTCCGCCAACATTATTTTACTCTTATTTTTCAGGTTACTTATACCATATTGCAATATGGTCAAATACTGGCATCGCTGGTAAAAGTATAATACTGACAAGGACAGTCAAATGTATTAGGAAAATGAGTGAAAATCTTCTTATCCCTACCCCACATTGGTTCCTCCAAATTTTAAGCATATATATATATAAGCCTTCAAGGAGTCTGTTATTTAATGAAGAATTTGACTAGCCTTTGACACTGATTCCGGGAAGACTAAAACCCTTGGAAATTCCCAAGTGATAGGAGTGTCATTGTTATTCATGAACTCCTAGGATCATGCCTAAGTTGTGCTAAGGAGATGACTTGGGATGGAGGTGAACCACGCCAGAAAGAGCAGCCACATGATGTCAGAGTTGGGGCTTTGAGACACATGATGCACATTTGATCTCCCAATCTCTGGGGAGGGGAAGGGACTGGAGATTGGGTTAAACCATGTGGCCAATGAGTCAGTCGATCCTGCCTGTGTAATAAAATCTCAGTAATGTCCAGTCATGACGGCTCTTGCCTGTAATGGCTCTGGGAGGCCAAGGTGGGAGGATTGCTTGAGCTCAGGAGTTTGAGACCAGCCTGAGCAAGAGCAAGACTTCCCCATCTCTACTCAAAATAGAAAACTTAGCCAGGCATGGTGGCATGCCTGTAGTCCTAGCTACTTGGGAGGCTGAGTCAAGAGGATCATTTGAGCCCAGGAGTTAGAGGTGGCAGTGAGCTATGATGACGCCACTGCACTCTAACCAGGGTGATAGAACAAGACTCTTGAAAAAAATAAAAATAAAAAAACCCAATAACAACTGGGACACCGAAGCTCAGTGAAGCTTCCTGGCTGATACACATTTTGATGTGCTGGGAGGGTGACACACCCAGATTCCACAGGGAGGGTCACAGAAGCTCTGTGTTCAGGAGGCTCCCACACCTTGGCGTATATGTTCTCTTCTTTGGCTGGTCCTGGTTTGTGTTGCTTATTATAAAACTAATCATAAGTATTTCCTGAATTCTGAGTTGTTCTAGTAAATTATCAAACCTGAAAGGGTCGTGGTGACTCCCACAGTTTCAGCCAGTTGTCTAGAAGTGCAAGTGGACAGGGGACAAATGAAGAGTGGCTGGTGTCTACGGAGAGGGCAGGCCCCGAAAACCTGTTACTCTGAGACTTACTCCAGGTGGTGAGTGTGAGAGCTGAAGTGCAGACACCAGCTGGTGTCAGAACTACCATTTTACATGGTTTTCTAAGCATGCTACAAATTCCCACTGGCCTGTAAGCTCCTTGAGGCAAGGAATCATATTTTACACTTCTTTGCTTTAAATGTAGTAAAAGCTTAACAAATGGATTAATATTATGTTAAAAGGCGTTTGCCAAGAAAGAGGTTTCTTTTGCTAATCACTAGCTCGGTTACGCATGCTGTCATTTGTTCCACGTACAGGGAATGGCAGCAGTGAGGCTCGCAGGTGAGGAAACGTGCCCTGGAGAGCGAAGGGGCCCCTGCGCCCAGCAGCGTGTTGCCAAGTCCCCGCTCCAAAGGGCAGCGCTGTGAGACCTCGGACACCTTATCGCACCTCTTTAAAACTCAGGTTGCTCACTGATAAAATGGAATAAATATTAATTTTAGGCCTTTTTTTTGGTGATTATGAGATGTAAAGTCCTGAATATAATGCCTGGCTCCATGCTCTGTAAGTATTAATTCATTTTAACAGCTAAAAGAAGAAATTGATTCAAGGAAATATATAAAGATTGATATCTTCAAAGGGGGGGTTGGCGGTTTGGGATCCAGTAAGTGCTGTTGTTCATCTTTCTATTTCTTTTGAACTGAATAAGCAGTAAACCCAAACAATTACATCTTGCTTAATGTTTAAAAATCCTTCTAATATGCAGAGCTAACTTAAAAATACAAGAAAAGCTCTTTGAGACACCACCTTAAATAATCACACAATTAAAATTCTAGTTTCTCAGATGCTTATATCTTTTAATAATTATTTTTATCCATTAGGTCCATGAATAAAGAAAAGAGAAGTTTAAAGCAAATTAAAAGGCAGCAAATTAAAAAGAAGTGGTAAAAATTTAGAAGTGAGAAAACCATGCTCACTCTTGACATATACTCCAGAATACCTTTATTCTCTCTTCCAATATTTGCATCTTTATTTGTGAACAAAATTATTCATGCAGCTGTCTGTCCATTGACATTCCAGAATTTTAAAGGTAGAATGTAAGTTAGGATACAAATTAGGATGCAAAGTCCATAAACCACTCCAACAAGTAGGAGTGAAATTATACTCCCACCTGGTGATTATTCTTGATTCATCGGTAGAGGCAGAATCTGATCATTTCAAAAGTAACTTGACACAGATTCCTTCCAGGTGCTTAAAAAGTCAAGTTTCAAAGCTATTATAAATGAGCAAAGTGTGTCAGAACTTCATAGGAGTCATTTTTCACCATATTAACATAAATTAGTTATTTTCAAGCTAGCAGAAATATAAAATGGGGATTGGAAATTAGATGCAAGATTTCATGTTAGAACTCATTTTTGATAGCCAAGAATGCAGATGGCCAGTAGTGGTTGTGAACAGTCACCTGTAAATCAGAATCCTAATAGGACCTACCACACAGGGTTGTGCAGAGGATTGAATGGGCGATTCTGTCGTTAGAATAATGCATGGCACCAAGGAGGCCCCGGACATGTGTGGATTGTGATCCTACACATTCATGTCTTAAAACATGAAGACAGTTGTTTCAGAGATTACAGTGAAATACACTATTAAATTTTCAGATTCCTAAGGTGATGATTTGAGTTGAAAGGCTACAGAAGTACAGGGAAGCGTTTTCTGACAAAATGGCTTCACTTACTTATGCACCTGTGAGCTCCCGTCCCCATCGCCATTCATTTTTTCTGAAAGATGTAATTTAATTGCATAGCTTAGATGATAAAGGATGCTGAGCACCAACCCACTGTGCAGACCGACGGCTTTCTTTAGTGTCACAGGACTGAGCTTCGAGGATGTCATGGGAACGGATGGGCACACACGGGGCCAGAGAGTGCTGTGGGTGGACACCCTACTTTCATGGGCCCGAGAGAGGGTGGGATCTGGGACTAGGCCTCGAACCAGGGCATCCTGTCTGATGCTTCTGTAGCCAAAGCCATCAGGGGGAAGATGAAGGTCCATCTCTCCCTGGGCAATGGGCATGCACCATCAAGAACTTCATAAGGAGAATAGATTGTCTATGAAAATAAGCTCCAGCTGTTTACTTAAGAGACTAAATTCACCTAACATATAAGCACTGCACACGTGGATGTAAAGATTACAGATTACACTAGTCACAATAGTCAAAAGATGGAAATAATCCAGATGTCCATCAGTGGATCAATAAACAAAATGTGGAATATCCACACAATGGAACATTATTCAGTCATAAAAAAGAATGAAGAGCTGATACAACATGAATGAGCCTCAGAAACATTATGCTACGTGAAAGAGGCTGGACACAAAAGATCACATAATGTGTTAATACGATTACATTTGTATGAAATATCCAGACTAGGTAAAGGCATAGAGACAAAAGTCAGATTAGTGGTTTCCAGGGGCTGGAGAGGGAGGAAAGGGGAGAGATTACTCAATATGTGTGAGGTTTCCTTTGAAGGTGCTAAAAATGTCTTGGAACTAACTAGATAGATGTGATGGTTGTACAACATTGTGAATGTAGTAAATGCCAGTGAATTGCATGCTTTAAAATGGTTAATTTTATGTTGGATAAATTTTACTTCAATTAAAAAAATGATTTATTTTATCAAAGCAGGTCTGTAAGAACAAGTAATGTTTCCTGTGAGTGTCAAACACCTCCCGCCACAGATCACGAGTCCTGTAGCTGCTTGGCATGAAGTTAGACCTATAGGTTTTCATTTTCTTGTCGAGTTTCCAGAGGTCAAAAACATCTTTATTGCACCGAGAATTCTCCTCACCCTCACCACCACCACAAATCAATATAAATGCTAGGTAAAATACAAAGAGTGGCTATTTGCAGGTATCGGACAGTGATCAAGAAAGCCAGGGATGGAAGA